CAAAGTCATCGAGGAGTGAAAAGCTGTGAGGACTCACAGCAGGTTTGGGAGCACGAGTGTACCTCTGGTAGATATGAGTAGGAACCAGTGTCACTGTGTGCCAGGATTCTGAGCCCCTCACTGGCTATGACATTGTGCCAGCAAAACTGAATTTTACTACACAACAATGCAGCTATGAGCTTATGATGATCCAAGAAGGAATGGGGTTTCCCTCATTTCATGTAAACTCCAGGCAGTGATGATTTGAGCTATGCACCTTCATGTTTCCTAGGCAGGATTATGGACTCTGAATCTGATGACTGTTGTCTCTGCTCAACTGAACAGAATAAAGAAAAAAAGGAAGAAGAAAAAAGTTTTAATGTAGTACCATCTTTTAGATTACACCTTAGGAAAAGTCCTTTGTAGTGTTGCTGGATGCAGATTCAGGCTGAAAGACAGTGAGCAACGTGATGCCCAGTCAGCTTAGAAAGCAATAGAAATGGAAATAGAAATGGAAAACACGAGAGGTAAAGAGAGAATATTGTGTAGTGAGTCCTTAAACAATAGGCTGAGGGTCAGTACAGGGGATTAGACACCATGGAATATTTCCTAAGCAGTTGTCCTGCCCACCTGATTTCAAAGCATTCAATAGCAGAAATGAAGTGGGAGATGCTCTTTCACCCCTGCTCTGCCCTTTGCCAGAAGATATGTGTGACTCCTGTCTCTGCCTTTGAAACTGCAAAGATTCAGAGCTGAATTTTGTCCAGGTCACTTGAGAAGAAAAGGGGGAAGGCAGCAAGATCCCTCTCACTCTACTGGATTTGCAACTGGATGCTTCCATCAGGACACAGGATTTATAGGGCAGTGGTGAAATTGTGTTTCTGCAAAGAGCAGCATTTGATCTTCCTGCACAGCCTGCAAACATGCTGTGCTTCTGCTGCTGCTGAGCTGCCTTGGCAGTCAGGGAAGGTCTGAAGGACCCAGTGTGTCATCTGGTTTGCTCTTATTGTTGTCTTGAGCCCTCATTTGTTCAGGCCAAGGTAAATTCTTGCTCAGCTGGAAACTTCCCCAGCAAAGGGATGAATGCAATGGTCCTTGGGAAATGGCCCAGGGCTGAGAAGTCATACCAGTTCCAAGGGAAAACTAAGCCTTTGTTCCTGAGAAGCACAATCACCATGAAATGTTTTTTTGACTCTCAGAGGAAAAAAATACCACACAGCTTTATGGGAAAATGAATCTTATGCAGGAATACTCTGCTTGTTTTCAATCCTTCCTCTTGAAAATACCTTTTCAACTCCTGAAATGAACTGAGTGTGACAGAGTAGAGCTATTTCAGGAATAATTAATTTTTATCAATTTTGAGATGCAACAATAGATTTGAAAGAGAAAGAAAGTGACGGTGCTTTTGTAATACTGCATGTGAAAGACTTTCTAGGAAAGAGACTGTATAAACACCTCCAAAATACTTCAGTTAGAGAATAGGATTTCCTACCTAAATAATGCATCATTGCATTTATTTCTTACATGGAAATAAAGCAACATCTAGTAGAGATCTGCAACAAAGCAGACTACAGTAATGCTAGTTCCCACAGAACTGGTGAGTCCTTGTTTCAGAAAGGGTTTGGCATCTAACAAAAGGTAAAGCTATAGCAATCTTTCCCTATTTTCCTTGATTAGAAAGAAAAGGCTAACAGCCTCTCTCATATTCAGACTGTTTATTATTTTTTCTTAAAAGTTATTCTTTTTCTGCTTTCCCAAGTAAGAAAAAGCAGGGGCACTGGTGCTCACGGGACACTTACGCCAGATGTAGTCTCATCCATGAACAATCAGTAACCAGCCTCCTAAAACCAGACTTTGTTACTCTGACTCCTATTTAAATAAGTTTACTTGGACTGGATGACTTCAGGATTCACTTCTCTTAAAATTAGACAATGGGAAAGCACTTAGAAGGAAAATATTGACTAGCATCCAGGTGGTGCATATCTCAGCAGGGTCCTGCATCTTAAGGCTACAGGTCTTAATGCATTTTCTTCAGTGGCAAGGAGGTGATTAGAAAGCACCCTTTGGTGCTTGTAATGATTTGTGAGGTCCATAGATGGCTTTGGCTACAGCAGAAAGTGGGACAGGATTATACTGAAAGCTGAGGCAATCTGTCTCCTTCCTCACAGAAGAAAAAAAAGAAGGAGAAATAGCTTAGAAGTAAATTAAAACAAGAAGCTAGCCCTAGGAGAAGTATCTAAGGAGAAAGGATAAAGGAAGGAGTCCTGTGGGAATGAGAGGCTCTGTCCTTCCTGCTGGTTTAGCTGCTCCTTCCCTTTGCTTCCAGCTTCTTTTAGAATTGTTGTTTATTCTTTTAAAAATGCAAAAAGGAAGAGAGAACTGAGGCTCAGTTGCTTTGCAGAACTTCCCTGGGGAAGGGCAAACTGGGCAATGCAATTGTGGATCAGAAACAGCTCTTGAGGGCAGATGTGAATGGGAGGGGGATAAAGCCGAAATGCAACCAAAAGAGGTGGTCTGGACAAGAACCAATTATGGTACCAAGCCAAATGGGATGCAGCTGGGCCAGTGATGCTTTAGCTGGAAGCCTCTTTTGAGGTTCATAAAGGATTTCTGGGACTCAGGAGCTGTAGTTCTGTTCAGAAATTGGTCATCCCCCAAATGCCAAAAATAACCCTGGCCTGACTTAGCCAGCAGCCTGTGTTGCAACTATACCAGACTCTGCATGAGTCAGGAAGAAAGCTGTAGGAGAGGAAGGGAAAGGACAGCATTGTGTGGGCTGCCACGGGGTGAGGTGAAGAAAGCACAGTCTGCTACCACCAGTACCCAGCTCTTGCTTAAATAGGTTTTTCTGGACAGGTTCAGGATTCACTTCCCCTCTGAAAAGTAGGTGGAACTGTGGGGGAGGCACTTAGAAGAAAAGTATTGACAGGAATCTGGGTGGCACAGATCCCAGCAGGGTTTTGCATTTCAAGACCAGAGGTCTTAACACTTTTCCTTCTGCAGAAGAGCAAGGTGACCATGCGCAACGCGGGTTTGCTCTTACCTTGATGGGAGTAGCGACTTCTGGGCTGGCTACCACTAAAGGAGAGATTAACAGCATGCCTGAAAACTCACTGGGTCGCTCACTAGCTGTCAGAATGGAGATGGCTCCCCCCTGCAATGCAAAATAACAGCCCACAGCTTAATACAGGTGCCAACATCTTGTTTGTTTAGTAATCCTGTTACTGGAAGGGCTTTAGTCCAAGCAAGCAATTATTTCTGCCCCACTGGGAGTGCAGTGTGGTCAGCAAGGAAGGCTGGAGGAGTAGAAGCACTGGAAGTGTCTGGTTTTCGTGGGGGAGAAGAGATCTGGTTTCTGTTCTCATGCTATAAACCCTCACGTCACACTGAACTCAACTTTCCGTGCAATGTCCGTCAGCTCCCTGGGATGCCTTGTGTCCTCCTTACTTAAAAGGACTAAGAAGTAAGAAGAAAATGTCTTGTGGTAGTTCAGGTGGGACTTGAAAATCAAGTTGAGGTTTGTTAGCTTGACAGACCGGTGCTGCATCGGGAAGATGCCGTGAAGCCGGGCTTGCTCCGTGCTGTGCCACTGGTAACCTGGGCAACAGCAGTGCTGCCACTGGCATGTGAAAATCTCCACTAATTAATGGGAATCAAATATTCTCCTCCTCAGTGTCCCCAGCCCCTCCAGCCCCACCGTGCTGTGCCAAGGGCCTGGCAGCAAACACCCAGCCCATGGTCTGGAGCTGAATGACAGCCAGGCTGAGCCATCCTGCATGGGGACCGGGGCTGATGGCGAGGGGTGCGGATGGAAGGGATCCAGTGGGCTTGCTTGGGAAAGTTTGCAGAGGATTAGTTGCCAAGGGAAATATTTGGTGATCTTCCACACTGCTGGAGAACCAGGGGCTTGTTAAATGGAGCAGCAGCGAGAAGCATCTCAAAGACCTCACTGGGAAATTGCTCCTTGTTACGGCGGCTTTGGAGCGCGGGAGCCCTTCAGAGCATGCCATGCCTTCTTATGCAAGAACACTTATTTATCTGAGCATGGACTGACTCCCAAAGTACTTATTCATTTTCCTCTCCTCCAGGAAGGCAGGGAGGGCAGATCAATGACATCAGTGGGAATACTGTTAGTTTGAATAAGGGGATTTGGCCCGTGCTGTCAGAATCAGGCTTCAGATCTGTTCACCAAATCAGTGCCTTTGTTTTTGCAGCCTTAATCCCTGGTACATTTTCCTGTTAGGTTGTTTTACAGAATGAGGCTACAGGGTATTTTCGTGCTTCATCCCCATGCTGCTCACAAAGCCTTGGAGGGCTTAACCTCCTGGTTACTGGTTAAAATGAAAGGGGAAGCCTGATGCTGCAGGGAGCTGGTGAGACTTACCGCATAGCCACGGGAATGAATGGTGGTGTTAAAAAACAGGCTCCTTGTTGCAAGTGGCACTAATTAGGGCCATGGTGGGGGTAGAAAAGTTAAGGACTGTCTTTACTCAAGGCAGATCTCAGGGTTATAGCATGCTGGAAAATCAGTCAGTGAATGAAGTGGAAGGGAAGGTTCCTGGAAGTTTTGTTTCCTTGCTGTGGAATGAGTTATTTCCTGCCATCCACAGTATCTATCACCAGACTGTGACACATGTCCTGGGTGCTGCTGGGAGGGGTAGGGGATGGTGCTTACCATGGAGTGCCCCAGGATGAGAACAGGCAGTTCAGGGTGCTCTTTCTTCATCAGATCAATGTGCTGCAAGCTGTCCCTGATGAAGACGTGGAAATCTGACACAACCATACGATCACCCTCGCTCTGCCCATGGCCAACTGCAGGGGGAAAGGAGAGCACACAGCTAAGTCATTTGAAGCAGTGGTTACAGTCAAGAAAGGAGCTGGCAGAAATAAACCTGTTGGACTGTTTCTGTCCTAACTTGACCTTCTCCTGCAGTCATCTCTCAACAGACAAAGTGCTGCAGAAATGCAAAGGAAACTGCATGGATCTGTCAAATGCCATACTGTCCATGACCTGACTTTTCAAAAAAGCGTCATAGAACCATAGAATGTTAAGGGGTTGCAAGGGGCCTCTAAACTTGGACTTCTATTCCCCCATGGTTCTATCTGCCCTTCAAAACCAAGAGCAGCAATTTACTTCTTGCAACCTCCAACATCAGGGTGAGGAAGGGCTGTCTTGCCTTGCTGATGTGTTGCTGCATCCTGGGAAATGGGGGTTTGCCTCAGAGATCATATGCTTTGGGTCTGGTGGCTCAGGGTACAGCAGTAACTGTGGTGTAGCATCTTGGCAAGAAACAGAAGGACTCTGAAGTTGCTATAAACTTAATGGACCATGGACACTGCCTTTTCCAGGGCCTGAATGTGCATAATATTCACAGTCCTGCTTTTTCTCATGATACCTTCAGTGCTGGGTGGGCTGGAAACCTCTTCTGTGAGAGGTTAGGGGTCAAGGGATGGAGGTTGTAACAGGCTGCATTGGGCAAGTATCCAGTGGCATCCTCCTCCTAAACAAGTGTTAATGCAAACTGTACCACACCTGGACACTGTTTCTTCACTCTGTATCTGGGAATTATCTTGCCTAATGGAAGGGAAGGGGAAGATTAAAATGGGAGATGGTGAGTTGCCATGGGAACAGTGGCATCCCTGGCAGAGGTGGAGCCAGCATCACCACCAACACAGCCCCAGGCAATTGAGAGCTTGCAAAGGCTTGAAATTAATACCACCTTGGGGAAGCAGTTTGCATGCTTATATGACCTCACATACATGTCTTTGTCTGTCAAAAATAGGGTTTGCCTTTAGAAACAGCTCCTTTGCTTGTTTCTGTTCCATGCAGGTTGTTAAGGAAAATGGTGAGGGGGAAATCGCATTCCACTCATATGGGTTAGGGTATAGGGGGTCTTAAACATCTCCCTCCTGCTGAGTGTCTCCTTAGGCCTTCTCCAGTGGGCACTGAGGCACATTTATAGGCACAAAGGGACAATGACTTGTTAAAGGAGGTGAAGCTGATAACTGTTGACATGCTGGATGGTTCCCCTTCCAGTGATCAGTAAAGAAAAGCCCTGCTGACACAGCCACAAAGGCAGTTACATCTGCTGGCAGTGGTGATACCAGTGGAAATCTGTAGGTCCCAGCTTTCTTGTAAGCCACCCAAAAAATCACCTCTGTAAATCAGGCAGAACTTCTAATAAAAAGCTGGACTAAATTCACTCCATCTAGGAAAAACTGAATCTCAAACTTGTTTTTGTGTCCTGTCAGGTGGTCTCTGTGGCTGTGTCTTTTGGCAGTGAGGGCTGCAATCAGCCACACTGGCTGCCAAAAAAAACCCATACACGTCATGCTGATCAATTATAAATAACGTTTTACCAGTTCTGCTTTCCATGCACACACTCCAATTCCTGCCAAAATATGCTGCAGCAAGCATCCTCCATGGATCAGTGACCAGGAACAAATCAAAGAGCAAATTAAAATCCAAGTCATGATAATCTCCAGAAGTGAAATCATGTGTGTGGCTAGAGGAACTATTAACTTTAAACTGGTTTTTGTTACAGATGGAAAGTAAGCTTTTGACGACTTTTTATATCCAAGCCACTCACTTTATGGTCCTCAAATGTGTTATCTTCCTACTATTCAACTCCAGATATGGCAGGTTAATATGAGTTGAACAGTCCAGAGAGAGAAACATTTTCCCTAACAGAGCTCTGCACTTCAGTTGTTTTTTCTCCCATGCTGCCTCACTTGCTTCTAGTCTCTCCTCTCCAGTGCTCAGACAACTGAGCAAGCAGAGACAGCAAACCTCCGTGGCCCAGGTCTGTAAATGGGCCATGACTCCTTGCTCTGGAACTGAGAGTCTCTGGTCTATTTTTGGATAGGACAAAGGCAGATCTGGAAAGCCTCCTTGGCTCTCAGTGTGGAGAATTTTCCCTGCTCCCACCACATAACAGTGACACTGCTTGTAACAGTCAAAGTATGATTGTGGAATCCAAGAAATACCTGTGCAATGATGTGACAAGTTCCTCTTTGAATCTTTTCCAGGGTTTGGGTTTTTTTATTAATAGCTTAATGAACGCCCCTTTTAACCCTGGTTTTAAATACTAAACTCCTGTCCCCCACTCAGATGACACACAGCAAAGCCTGAGAAGCAGTTTGCACATTTGGGACAGGAAAGCCATGCAAGTCTTTGCTTTGATACTATCAAAGTATCAAACTTTAGTAGTTGTAGTTCACCACTACCCCTTGCACAAGGTTAGCCAGGGGTTATTGCTAGGTCATGGTCTTTTATTTTTTTATTTTCTTTTCTTCCCCTCCAAGAAACCAAACTTGTCCCCCCAATGAATGAGTATATTGCAAGTTTGAATCCCCCACCTGAAAAAGCTTCAGGATGAGGAACTGAGACCCCTTCTATCAGATGAAAGATGTTTGCACAACTGAACATCAATACAGTCAAGAATATTGACGTGTTTTTCTCTGATCTTTTGCCTTTTGAGCTATTAAGAATGAAAGGTCAGGTTCATCCTTGATGAAGTTTCTGTTCCATGCAGGTTGTTAAGCTATTAGCTTTGGGTTTTGCTGGGAATGACTCTGCTGTAGTGATTCCACAGTGCCAGTGGCAAAACTGGGGGTGCAGGAGGAGGGGAGCCACCTTCCCCTAGCAACTGGAACCAACCAGAGGCTGCTCCACACCCAAGTGAAACAAAGGCAAGGGTCCCAGGAATCACAGCTCCATGGGCTCCTCATCCCAGCACTCCCACAGAGGCCCCTGGTTTCAACAGGGCAGTGTGAGGTGCACAGAGCTGTGACTGCACATCCCCACAGCACACTCAGCATTCAAAAGCTGTTTCACATCTGTTTCACATCTACCTGGCTTCCCACCCAGCTTGTGTGGTTCACTGCCACTACTGTGTTTGTGCAGTGGCTCAGTGATCATTTCAGGTTGTGTGTATCTAATTGTAGGCACCCTTTCCACGAGTCTTTAAAAGTCAGAATCCAAACGACATATTTTCAAGTTGCAAATCTAGAATTAGGAGGTTTAAGCATCCATTTCCAACCAAACACACTACTGCAAAATAACACAGTTTGCTCAAACACAATCTGAATAAAGGCTGTGATGATCTGGCCCAATATGTCATAGTAATTAAATTCTTCCCTCTATTTTCGGCACGAGTATGCTCTGACTGTGGCTCTGCCACCGGAGTCAAGAACAACAACTTAGTCAGTCCTGGCAGAAAGCATGACTTCAGAGCATGATTCCACCTATGATTATAGATCCTCCAAAACTACACATCTCTCTGGATAAAATCATACTGACTGGCTGCACAGGAAGACAAAGCTGAGAGTGAAGGGATGGGGTATCTGAGGGTGTGAGGTCTCTGGGGTGTCTGTTGTAACCGTGTAGGTACGACTCTGCCTGCATAACAGATCCTGTGACCCTGGAAATGCATAATTCTACAAGTCCCTTCATTCCTCAAATCCCATATTCTCTCCTGTTGTGGGGCTTGCTTTTGAAAACCACTCAAAGCAGCCAGGGACTTCAGCTGACTTTGGCTTACATACCTCAAAAAAGGTTACATCCTGGTCAGATTGGAGATAAGCTGAAAAACATGTAAATAAAAAGCACAGTCCAACTTGACACTCCTCTCCCTTCATTAAAAGCCAAATGGGAGCTGCCTGAAGAAATTAGCAGCCCAGCTCTGGGCTTGTTGTGCAGACTCATTCTGATGAGGGGACCTGGGCTGGATCTCCAGCAGCACGATGCTTTTTTGCTGGGGGTGTGGGGCCAAATCAGAGCTGAAGAAATCTGTTCTTAAATGCAGTAAAGAAGACAAGCAGAATATTAGGCAGAGAGGAGAGCTTGGCAGTACCTGTCCCTGCACACTGTGGGGTGCCCCAGGGTGTGGGTGAGTGGGGCAGCACAGCCTGTCAACCCTCAGATACCTGCACTGCTTTTGTTCTAAACACTAACTTTTACAAAAGCCACACATTATGCATATTTGTTTCTCTTTCCAAGTGCTCAACCCTCCTGACAAAAGTGGAGCCTGACCCTGGATGATCAGGTGAGGACTGAATTGACCCTCTGACCTTCAGCAGGAACATTTTGCTATGGAAAATGAGGTGATGGGAATGCAGGTCAAATGTTGAGTTCCACTATGTTGCTGTAAATTCACCAATTTCAGTGCTGTTCCTTAAAGGTTATAGTCATGGGAAAGCAGAAATTATGCACCATGGGTTTTTTTCAGCCTTTGACCCCTATTTATTATGGAAAAGCCATAAAACAAAGAGAGAGGACAGGAGAAATCTGCCTAGGGAACAGTAATTTTTCAGGAAGAATTTGTCTCTTGGCTTTTCACATATTTTGATGTTTCCAGCTTTGGGGGAAAGGGGATAGTTTGGATCCACTTTTATTGTAGTGGGAACACCACCACTGTAGGGTGAGATGTTCTCCCTGGCCAACTGATGGTAGAAACAATCAGGAGGAATGCAGGGCTTGACTCCTGCCTCAGGATTCATCAGCACTATCTGTTTTCCTCTCTAGAGGCGTAACTCCAAGGTTTTAGAGCAGAAGAATCAGGAACAGGCAGAGCCAGGGGTCAGGTCAGGAATTCCAGGCTTGCCACTCCCTCAGCGCAGACACATTTTGAATTGCAATGGTACTAACAGAGGAGTGCCAGGAGTTTTCAGTGGTTAAAGGTGAGAAGTGCCACCAGTGTGAAGTCAATGATTCCCAGACAGCTGAGGAGCAGCTCTGGTACTGCAGAGTCCCACACTGGGAAGAAAAGTCTTAATGATGGCAGAGGGGCCATTGGCAAGGCTTGGTGCTGGAGTGTTTGAATTAATAACCTGGAGCATGATGTGATTCAATTCACAAGGAGCTGTTGTAGGTCAGAAAAGGTGATTTTGCTGCTTTAGCTCTGGCACTGCAGTAGCTCATTACAGCACAGACACTGGTGTGCAGAGGAAGGATTTTTGTTAGAGGCCTCAGAAAAGCTCAGGTTGAAGACCCTCTTCTTTCACTGTCTTGTTCATCAATAAGCTTGTAGGAATCTGACAGGTCCAATTGAAGCAAATTCCCAAATGGTTTTTGGAAAAGGAGATATTATGTGTTTATTAGTTTTTGGAAAGATTTGTTTGATTCCTGAAGTCCTCTGCTTCTATATTCTGCCCAAAATTGGAGATGGAATGCACCTCTCACTGGTGTTGAACACTGTGACACGTGGGAAGGTGAGCCTGCCTCACCCTTTTTTGCTCTCACCCTGTCACAGGTCATGCTGCTGGTAAGAGATATGAGAATAGTTGTGTCCTGCTCACTGTTCAGCTGTCTGATTTAAGAAAAAAGCCACATAATTGAAAATTCTCATAGATGCTTTCCCTCTGCAGGTGGCCCACACAGAGGAATGATGCTGGGTCTGGAGCCCACAGGAGGGAGATGCCAATGACAGAAATGTGGATGGTTCTTTTGGAGGTGCAATGTACCAGCCTAAACCCTGTCCCACAATTTTCCTGAGCCTGTGGCTGCTTGCTCAGGTGGGCATCTCCCTATGGTGGCCCCCAACCTATCCTGAGATCCCAGTGCAACGGGAAAGGACCAGTTTAGCAGCTCATTTTAACATCCAAACCCCATAGACTGGGAGACAGTGACCCTTGCCTGCCCCTGCTTTCCTCTCTGCCCTCTTCAAAATGCATTCAGACTTGGAGATAAAACTTAAAGCACAAGATGCAGCAGATACAGTTTTCCAGAGTGTTTCAGCTTTAGCAGCCAGTGCAGCTGTTAATGAAGTGTGTCACAAGGCATTGCAGCTGATGTATGTATTTATGAGCTCTACTGAAACTCCTCTGAGCAAGAGGAGTTTTTTTGGTTTGGTTTGGGTTTTGGGTTTTGTTTTTTTGGGCACTTGTACAGCACCAGCACCACAGGGCATCACCATAGACCTTGGTCCAATGTACAGCAAGACTTAAAAGTAATAATTAACTCTAATCCCAGGCTATAAGGCAGCATGGTTTTGCAGAGGAGGAGTTTGGGGGAGACAATACACAAGGCAACACAGCAAATGTTCTGTGAAGCCTTGATTTTCTGCTCAGTGACTTTTTAAGGTTTAATGAAAAAATTATTAATGAACTAGTAAACACTTCAAATTGTCGTAGCAGTTCACTACTGAAAAAATGATACTTGTTTTGTAATGATTTAAGTACACATCTTTTTCATCAAGTGAGCAAAGCTCATTAATTAAACATACTGGATTTCAAAGCTCTCAATGTTTAATTATTTGTTTAACAAGCAGTACATCTAAGCCACCATTCAGACACACAAACAACTAAAACAGGAAGAAGCTTCAAAGCAGGACAATCAACATCTGGAAAAGTCAACAGATTGTGCCTGTATTGTCAGTGACATGTAAAGCAAATGTTCCACTGGCAGAACAAATACACAGAGGAAGCACCTCAGAGATCATCCTGCAGATTCCTGCTCAACAAAGCATCTTTCTTGCCCTCAGAACAGACTTATCATAGTGAGGGAGCTTGTTCTGGTTTGATTTCCCCAATTTCTTTCCATTATTCAACCAAATCAAGTCTGGTGCACGGAGGACACTATGAAATTTCTGCCCTCCATCTGTACCTACTCTTCATTTTTCTGCATGTGGAGAGCACTGGCACCAGGACACAGACACATGAGCCAGGAGAAAGTAGGGTAAGCTGTCCTAGGATTTAGTGCATAGGTCATGGTCCCTTGACTCTGATCAAGCTGCCATCTAGGTCAGCTGCTGTGCTTATTTTGTAGATAAACCTTGGGGGGCGTGTCTCAGTGTCCACCTGACTGAGCCTTAGCTGTGCTCTCTCATCCTCTCCCACAGCCCTGGTTTCCACTGGAGGAAACACCAGTTTGACACAAGCCTACAGTCTTTTCCAGGAAGATTACTTTCACATCAGATGGGAACCATTAGGAACTAAAAGGAGAGGATCCTCTCTCACCACTGCTTCCACTTTTATGTTCTTTGAGAACCTGAAATACAGTTCAACAGTTCAAAGTCTGGGTAGCCATGGACATCCCTTCTTTAGCACCACCAGTAGAGATGCAGTGAGCACACTGGGTTTTCCCACATTATACAACCACTAGATATGGTACCCAACAGAATTACCTCTTACCCTGGGTGTTTTATGTATGAAGTATGTAACTAAGAACTAGAGATGGATTCTGCCTCTCTCTGACCAAAAGAGAGCCTTGTCCTGAAGGCACAAGTGCATCAGCTTCCCTCTTCCCTTCCAAGGTTAGGAAAATCATTTTCCTTTCAGCATTTGCTGGGTAGCTTTTATTCACTTGCCTCACACAAAGAGCACAGCAAACTGAAAGCATTCTCCTCCCACATCAGAGACACATTTGCAGAGATGAGATATTTTTAGAATAGTGCACAAAGAGATACATTGTTTGTTGTCTTGGTTAGGAAAAAAAAGCAACAGTCAATTTTCTATACTAAATTTATTTGTGCCTTATTTCTAGGGAGCAGAGTACCAGTCATGTTGCTAAAGCCATTTGAAATCTTTTCTGTACTCCAGAGATGACAAACAAAATGACCTGGTACATATCAGAGCAGTCGTTAATTCTGGCTGACAAGGCAAACTGTTTCTGTCAATGTTAAGAGCCAATTCTTCTCTAATGGATACAAACATGGCTCTTTTGGCTTTAGAAGACTTGCCCATTTCTAATGCTGTTGCTGAATTTGGCTCTGAACTGCAGTTCCTTAAAAGTCTTCCTGGAACATCATGTTGCTCATGAAAACATGCTGAAAAAACCCATCTGAGTGTTTGTGTTGCAAAATAAAGAGCTGCATTTACAAACAGCAGTCACTGTGGCCAGGCTAGAAACCTAAGTCTCTCCTGGGATGCCATGAGATGAAGGGGCCAAGACAGTATGAAAATCTGCACATGCCACAGTCACTTCCACACTGCCTGGAATGGGGCAGCTTTGTCATCCCTGTCACAAAATCAGGAAGCTGCTTGGCGTGGCTGGTGAAGCTAAGGTCCATGAAAGAGGAATATGGAGCCCACTTCCTCTTCCACAAAGCACATTCACAGTAGTATTCCACTTTCTTCCTCAGGCCCTTCTGCAGTGCCACCTCCTGAGCCAGCCCTTAAGGACATAAAAGCAGAAGACAGCTGGCAGAAAAATCCTTTTCTACCAGGCTACTGGGATCAATGGTTTGAAAATGTTGCACAAACCCATTGTAGATGGCTGAGTGGCTGTTGAGTTCCTCTGCAAAAGAGTTTCATTTGCTGATGAATGAAATTATTCCTGTCTAATCTCTTCTCCTATGGGATGAAGATCACAACACAATGTAAGATATATAATCAGTGAAGCACAACTTACAGTGGCTCTAAGGAGTCAGAGACACTAGCTAATCAAGCACTAAGGGATTTTCTTTAGGGCCTATAACAATTTTTATAAGGCACTATAATTTTTAACGGTTATTTTTGCAGTTTTGCACTGAGATTTTGCTCTCTTTCATGAGGAACACATAATTTCCTAAAGTATCGGTGAGGTGACTTTATTTAGTAATGGAGTTGGTCTTCAAAGACTTATTCTGGCATGACACAGAACCAGTATCAATGCCCAGATAGTGCAGAAAAAAATGCATGGACTTTGCTGGGGTTAATCCAGGGTCTCACAAATTCATTTGACCTATGTGCTGCTGATCCAAGAGCAGAGAAGAGCTTTTTTTCGGGTTTCCATATATGATATCACTACTGGTAGCTAGAGTTTCACCTTCAGCAGAAGAGGCAAGCAGCCAAGGGATATCTCCCTTGGTATTTTATTTTAGCTTTAAAAAAACATATATGATTTTCTTCTCTTGTTTTAATCCCATAAATTAAAAAAGCAAGGGTGCAAACTGTACTTTTTCCTAGCTGAAAGCAAGGATGAAAATCCATTTGCATTAACTTTCTGATTCAAGTTCCAGTTTTAAAACAGCTGGGGCACCAATTCAAAATGTCAGGATTTTCAATGAAAAAGCCAGTGCTGGAGAGGAACTGCACACTCCCCTTCCCCTTCCCTGCCCATTTATTCCAAAGCACAGCTGGCATGTGGGCTGGCTCTCCAACACGCTCATGCTATTAAGTCCTAAATGACAGCTTGTTTAACTAGAAAACATTTCCATTTCTTTCCTTAACAAAGGCCATTCATTTCTTGCTCCTCTGTTTGGTTAAAGATGGTTCCATTTGCCCTGCCTGAGAGTGTGCACAGCCCTTTCTGATGGTTCCCCTCCGCAGAGGGCTCTGAGTGAATGACCCCGAGCCTTGCCCCGCACGCTGCCGCAGCACCAACAGAGTTACTCACATGGCCAAATCCAGATGTGTGCCTTGGGTACTTCCGTGCTTGAGTAAACAACCAAATCAATTAGTCTTGGGAAAGACAGACCTAATTCTTCCCTGCCTACAGTAGTTTAGGCATCACGAAGAAAAGGAGATGAAAGCTGGGTCATGTAAGAACCCCCTTCATGCTGCTGATGAGTGTCTTGAGAGACAGACACAACTTCCTTTCATGCTCTCTTCAAAAGGTTCCCCTCCATGCAGACCACCCATTAGAGACCCACATCAATAACAACAACAACAACAAAAAGAATTTAAAAGACCCATTTTTCATCTGATTTATTTACATGTTAAAATAAACATGAGTTCTCATCTAGAGCAAGGGCTCCCAGTGGGTTCTGTTTAGTCTGTGAGATTCTTGGCACCAGAATACAGCATTTCTCTATTCCAAAGCAATCTTGGCACAGAATTGTTGGTTATATAATTTTTAAGCAACTGGCAAATGAATAATAATGTTTCTAAAAAGAGTGACTCGTGTTCTAGGATACCAGCTAGATGTTTTACCAATTAATCTGCCAAAAGGTCAGTAACAAACCTGAGATCTCAAGGCCCTTCATTCAGGGTCAGCTCTCTCCATGAGAGAGTTGCACTTCCAGTTCTCAACCAGCCTTTCCAAAGGTAGCTTTCCCACAGAGTTAAAAAGATTTTCGCTTTTTGCTTCACTCCTTCGTATTGCCACATGGCAGTGCCACCCTCATTAGATGGGATTTGTCCCTCTTCCTGACAAGGCACGAAGGAAATACCATTCTCCCAGAGCCGATAGCTTTTTATACCCACTTTTCACAAGCTCAATGGGTGAGCAGCAGGTGGATTATTTGAAATAAGGGCAGGCATTTTTAATTTCTTTTTTTTTTTTTTTAGCAGGGTACATCCATACAGAGCTGTAGCTCATTCAAACCCTAACAGATCTGACTGGGAACAACACAATTAGGGAAAAAACCTCCTGATGAAGCAGGTCTGGCAGGGAGTATTCCTGGGTGGGTCAATCCTGCCCAGTGTGCCAGAGCACAAATGCTGCCAGTTGGCTCATGGCTGAGTGGCATTTAGATGGTGCACGGGGGAAGTCACAGGGAAATGGCAGGGCAGAAAATAGCTCTCCTAAATTCGTCTTGCAGCAAAGCTGTTGTCCTTTCATGGTAGAGGTTGATTTCAGAGTTATTGGTTCGGTTGCTTTTACCATTTCATACCCTTTTCTCTTAAACTCTCCCCACTGCAACTCTGAAATTCTCCTCACTAGATATATATTTACCAAAAAAGCCAGGATCAGACAGGCAGGTTATTGCTTTCTGTGCTCTGTTTCTCAT